ACAACTACTTCCCCTGGTCAACTGGTTCGAACTCAGCCTTAAGGTAGGCCAGACTAGAATCTGACCTTAGGCACTGTTAGTTATTGAATTTTGCTTTATGCATGCTCCATTGTTTTTCATCACACATATTTCAGGCCATGTGGCAATTGCAATCCCCTCCCTATTTTGACTGTAGAATGGAGTTAGGTGTCACGTTTCATCTCAGACTTCCATTTTATAGATTTTGCGGGCGACTACACTGTGTTTGGCTATAGGGAGTTACCGATAAGTGTGCGGATTATTAGACCTACATTTCCTGAAGTATTCGCATTAGTTTGATGCTTTAAATGGAAGCGTTGGACAGCACCTTTTGAAACGAACATCAAACTATAACCTGCAGCCTTTCAAATTTTCCCTTAACTCCATTCTCCTGTTAGATATATTCTTTTATGATGCGACTGACGGTGGAATTCCAAAACTCTTCCCAGTACCGGTTTTGAACACTGCTCTGTTAGATTCCACCAATAAGCTGGTGAACCTGGAGACAAGTAACAATAACTGGCAACTCACTCGGCGTCTTTTTCTGGTGGACAATGTTGCCGGGAAGACGAGTCTCACGGAGCAGGGTTGGTTTATTTGTTTTATCATACTGTTTTTTTAGCTATATTTCTCTCAAATAGACCATAGGTGCACAATTCTGGTTTTGCGATAAGGGAGTAATAACATTGCCTCAGCGTTAGCGAAGAGCTGTTTGAAAATTTGCGTTTCATAGCGGTTGTTCAGTTCACTTCGATCCAGATTTACTAAGGGTGCGATAGGCGAATACCTGTTAACTGCTAAATAGGTTACAAAGTGCTCTGCGACCGACTTTGCCTCCGAGCACGGACGGTTGAGGAAAGAAGGAGTGCAGTAAATGCCTCGCAAGCCTGCTATCACTTAAAATTAGCTCACAAGCAATTCACCGCGTTTGCTTTCAACCTCCTTAGGCATATCGTCGGATATGACGGTCGAAATGCTGCTTACAAAGTGGTTGAGCATGAGCAGCAATACATGGGGAAAAAGCAAAAAGAGGCTGTTTGCACAACTGCATGTGAAAAGCAAGCAGCTGCCGGTTACTCTAAAGGGTAAACATAATCGCCTACTCACTTATTACAAGTAGTGCAGTTACATCATTCGTATGTTGGTAATGATGTTCCACATTGCAACCACTCTGTAACTAAATAAAAACTTGTTTTTGCTTCTCCCAGGTGACGTTTTCCGCCGTATTAAGTAAGCTTCTGGGAGCAGCATAGAGCGTTAATGAAAAGGTTTAATAGAAGGTGCAACAACCAATTTAATATTTTGTCGAACTATTTAAAATATTAACTTACTCAGTTTTGGGCATGTGGCTGTATATAGGCATCTCCCCTCCTATTTTCCATTTCGTAATCGCTAAGTTATCCACAGCAATAGTGAACTTAACAGTACCTCTACGGTAGCGGGTAAAGGTGTTAGAAAAAATACGGGTCGTAAACAATCCGCTAAGCCAACAGATTAAGGAATTCGAAGTATATTGTTGTTTACATGGGCGACGATCGAATGTGCGAATCCTTAGTTTTTATTGATATTGCATGCCTACTTATGTAACTTAGGTAGACATGTCATATTAGAGTCTCGTTTCTGCTTAAGACTAAATGTTCGGGTAAGGTTAGGGTTCGATGAAGGACTAACTAAACGGAGCAGGCATGCGAGTAATCGTACTAAAACGCACATAAGAGGCTAACACCAGAAATACCCATAAAATCATGTTACGAAAGGAAATCTACCTTATTATACTCAAAATGGTTTGTTTCCAACATGTGAACTTATGAAGCCTTTTTATTTCTATGACGTCCCCATCGGCGTAGTTAAGTGAAAAAAACTGTTCATCTTAGTTCGAGCTCTAAACAAACGGAAAAAATGGCTCATTCTCGAGAAACCGTGTTGGTATTTATATTCAAACACTTAGCTCTTCGTTAATGACCTCCCTTTGTGTTGCACTTATTCTTGATGGATGTTTGAGCACAAATTTTGCTCAAGGATTATTTTCAAACTTGATAATACTCGTGCTGATTTACTTACTCGTTTTGCGTGAACAGGCTTTCTCTATAGTTAAAAGCTAAAATTACTCATTGACACCGATTTTTTTACGTTGTCAGCATTTCCCGTTTCTCTAAAAAGATGTGGTATTTCTAAACAAAGTGAAATGCATTTGTTAATCACAAAAGTACCTTCTTTTTAAGAATGGTCGTTCTTTTACTGCTGTAAGACTTTGGCAGACGCAGTATGGGGGTGATTTTACGTAACAGGGATTTTTTTGTAGAATTCTTGAGAGTTCACCCCACAAACAACGCTTGTTTTCCTTGCGGAATCATTGATCGGTAGAATACTTTACCCACGTACTTTTGTGACTATCCGACCGTGCGTTAGTTCAAGAGGCGTCCGAATAATTATATGTTAACTATCAACCAGAAATACCCAAATCCTATGTTATAAATTATTGCGATATCTATAAACTTACTGCTACGGATTTCTCAATAAATTATTATTTTTACATGTACTTTAACATTCTACTGAGGACTTCTTTGTGCAAGGAATTTAAAGTCTGCTGTATTTTCGCAAATTCTACACCCTTTAACAGCTTTAGTTCGCCTTTAGTTGGATATATTGTGTACTGAAACTACCTGGAAAATATTTCGACTTTTAACTACTTATCATGCAGATCTGTGCTTTATAAATGAAATTTTCAAGGAATTCTGCCATTTACTCCAAGTTTA